ACATACATTTACTAACCATAGACCCCCCCCCCCCCTGAGTCAAACCCCTCAAAATGCTGCCTCACACACAAAAGCAAGGTCAAGTTCACTTGCTGATGAACTGCCTCAAGTTAGTAGACACGACAGTCACAAAACAGCAGCTGTGATGCCTGTGACATTGAGTCATTACCAAGCGCAAGTCTCTAACCTGTAATTTCACCAGCTAAATGTAATGTGCCTTCTTCCATTAACTAAAAAAAGCTAGATTAAATATGTGTGAAAGTCAGAGGCTCTGGAATGATGTCATTTCAAGAGCTCACAAAGCTGTCAGTGTCCATCCTGACGCCCAAAAACATAGTCAAATAAGTATGCAAATGCAAATTCAAATGCTAGCAAGAGTGTGGTTTTGTTGTACACGCATAGCATGTGTTCTTTCGTTACTGTAGAGGTAACAAACTCCAATACTCAAGCAGGCAATAGAAGTACCTTTAAATGTCTGTGCCATTCAATTTTTATGATTCAAGTAAGTATAAATATGTCAACTAGCAAGATTCAAGTATCTGACCACAAAAACCTTGTGAAATGGTTTGATGAGCAGTTTTTGTATTGGCCTTTTGAAATAAGAAGTTAATGAGGGAAGTATCTAACAGCTTGTTGGAAGCCCAAAGTATATGTCGGTTTTTAAGCATATGGCGTATCTGTACATTACATGTGATGTAAGTTTAATCATCATCATGTCGCAATGATGAGCTCTTGTGAGAGAGGGTTAACACATACTCTCAACTCTAGTTTAAATGAGTACAACAGCATTTTTATCGCTTATAACTTCTGGGGAGAAATAGCACAGACACTGGATGAGGAGTAAACTTTCCTGTGTGCTTGTGTCGAGCACTTGTGTTAGTGCATGCTATCAATCGAAGTATACTTTGAAAAGTTGTGTTCGACCGTATACATTCGTGTTAAAACAAAAGAAGTAAACTTTGGGCTTTCATTTTCATTACAACACAGAACGATGACTTGCTACGTGGTATTGCTAGTCAGAGTTAGGTGGTATCGGGAGAGGGACATTCTCATTCCAGACAGCATTTGATTGGACATTGAAAAATTTATATACACCTTTGAGTGCAAGATGAGTCATCAATATGTATTTGTTTTCCCAGAAATATGTACCTTTTAAATGCATTTATAGCTAAAAGTGAATTTAGAACTACAGTAGCATATAGATAGCCTTAAAGCTAATGCTACAAATCTAAAGCTGCGTCCCAAATGACGCACTATACTGTGCACTCATACACAATGTACTTATGCACTATGCACTCAACCATGTAGTGTATGAATTATATAAGATTATTATGTCATTCATAATCAGAATCTGATAGCCCCTCCCTCGGTACATAATTAAAGCTGTGACAGTTGAGTGCATGAAGTGTCCAACATTCCACACTTCGGCCCTGTCCCAAATGGCACACTTCATGTGCACTCGTGGTCTTGCGGACTTACAATGGCCGCCTTGTGCGCGTGTCCGTTAAGTCCACGAGACCATAGGATGTTCCATTCGTCCTTTTAGCTTTCATAAGTGTGCTTGCGTGTGCCCCCTCTGCGGCCGCTATGCACCCTCGATGCGCACTTCTGCCAAGCCCGCACTAGGGTCGAGCTCCGCAGCTGACTTCTACCCGACAGTCAAAGCGGCATTATTACATCACGAAAGTGTGGACTCAGAAGAAGACCGTGAGGGTTTAGGGTGCGATTTGGGACAGGGCCCTCATGATAATGGAACTCCAACCGTTTCACCATTTGTATCACTCGGCTTGCAGTATTTCTCTCATTGAGTGTCATGGTGGACGCCCAAATCCACTATAATTTTATAAATAATACTGTTTTTGTGTCATGGAATGTAGTTTTAAGAGTTTTTTAAGCAAGAATGTAGTTGTTTATACTTCAGATATGCGGTTTGTTAATAAAGATAACATCTATTTGAAAATTTGCTTCGACGTTTTCGGAGATGTGAGCTCCAGGGTGTCAGCGGCTGTTCAGCACTCATGAACCCGCTGAGAGCAGCCTCACCTCGGCCAGATCTTCTGGAATTTGATGGCTCTGATGTCTCTATAGTGGTTAAAACATGATCTAATGGGCAGTCTTTGGTCTCATTAATCTATTATTTGTTCCAAAGCAAACAGTTTTGGCAGAGGGCAAAATGTCATCACAATATATTTTATGATTTTAGTTACATTGTTCCGCCATTAGATGGCGACAAGAGACTGTTTTTACGAGTCAGCGGTAAAGACTTTTATATTGAAAGAGACTGAAACAGGGTTGTAAACAAGGAAGTTATTTTTA